TTCTAGTTAGTGAGCACACACTAGTTACCTGTTGCCTTCTAGTTAGTCAGCACATACTAGTTACCTGTTCCCTTCTAGTTAGTCAGCACACACTAGTTATCTGTTGCCTTTTGGTTAGTCAGCACACACTTGATCCCCCCCCCATATTAACTTCAATGCTTTAAATGTACTTAAATTTATAAATTCTTGTTAGTTCTAGAATTAGATCTACTCCATAGTTGCTAGAGAAACTTTTTGGATTTATGTGTTTCATCCGTTACCTAACTGTGTCCTCCACCATTGGGCTCTTGGCAACCCGAGTCAGCACTATACCTGTTAAGCCTTCCATTATTTGTTAAGTTCATGATGCTGACGATTCAGCAGGCTTGTTTTGATTAAGTTTCCTGAGGAAATACTTAAATAAAATTATCTGGAGCAGAGGATAATTCATTTAACCTGGTTGTTAATCAGTCTCCTAGTTTGCTTTGTGTTGCCATGGTAACTACCATAACCATAGCCAACCTTAGGAAAAAAGGCTTATTTCATCCTATAGGTTATAGTTCATCATTGTGGGAAACCAAGGGAGGAGCTTGGGCCAGAAACCATTCTGCTGCTTACTGTCCTGATTCTTGGCTTGCTCAACTATCTTTCTTATACAGTCCAAGACCATCTGCCTAGAAATGGCGCAGCAGACTGTGACCTGGGCCCTTGTGATTTGAGAGAAAATGACCCCCAAGGGGAATGACACTATTAGGAGGTGTGACTTAGAGTAGATATGCCCCTGTTGGAGTAAGTGTGTCACTGTGGAGGTGGGCTTTGAGGTCTCATATACCCTCAAGTTTTGCTTAGGGTGATACACAGACCACTTCCTATTGCCTGCAAGATGTAGGACTCTCAGTTACTTTTCCAACGCTTTGTCTGCCTACACACCACATGTCCCACATGTCATGGACTAAACCTGTGAACCGTAAAAGAGCCACCACAATGAAATGTTTTCCTTTCAAGAGTTGCCGTGGTTATGGTGTCGCTTCACAGCAATAGAAACCCTAAGAGAGCCCCTCTATATTAATTAGCAAGTAAAAAAATATCTCACTGATGTGGCCATAGGCCAGTCTGATCTGAGTAATTCTTCAGTTGAGGTTCCCTCTTCCTGGGTAATTTTAGGTTTATGTCAACTGAAGCCAACTATGACCATCAGTTGTGGAATATTTCTTTATATTGTGTATGGCACTGTGATTGGGTTGTTAAAAGCTGACTGACCGATGGCTAGGCAGGATTTTGGAGCAAAGAGGATGCTGGGAAGAATAAGGGAGGAGTCTTAGGGTCCAGAGAAGGAAGATGAACATGTCATACTGAAAGATGGTACCACATGTGGCAGAGGGTAGATAAGAATTTTGGGTTAATTTTTAATGTAAGAGTTAGCTAGTAATAAGCCTGAGCTATGAACTGAGCATTTAGAATTAATTTTGAGTCTCCATGTCAGTTATTTGGGAACTGGCTGGTGGGACAGAAAATTCCACCTACAACCAATGACTTAAATTTCCTACTTAGAATATTGTTTAAACTAAATGTAATTAGGTAAATATATATGTATTTAAGGTCCCCAGGAATTAGCATTTAATTAAAAGTTTGAAATGTCGTAGCAGAAGTATAACAGTGCAAGTCCACCTGGAGCCCAGCATGTTGATAGAAGAGACTTTAGTGTAGACTGAGAAGCATTGGTGTGGATTGTAGTGGTTTCCAACCTGTGCCTCTGAGATGGCAGCCTGAGGAGCAAAGGACTAGAGGAGCAACACAGTGGAGAGGAAGGGGTTTCTGTCATTCAAGCCGTAAGAGTGGAGTTATGTAGCCTCTTAGTGCTTTGAGTCATTCTCCCCAGTCTCCTTAGTTCTGGCATTGCTTTTGATATTTTAAAAAATAGCTAATTACAATGTTTTTCAGTATTTTCCTTTAGTATTTCATTTTTATTTATGTGTGTGGCTATAGCTGTGTGAGTATATGCCAAGCGTGCCAGTGCACACAGAAGCCAGACGAGGGCATCGGATCCTCTGGACTAGAGTTAGGTGCCTGTGAGCTGTCTGCTGTGGATGCTGGGGATGAACTTGACTCCTCTCCAAGAGGAGACACTCTTGTGCTCCAAGATCAAGCCCACTTCACTGCTCAGCCATCTGTCCAGCCCTGCCCCCTGATATTTTTAAGTAAGAAAATAACTTAAACTTAAAAGGTAGACTGTTCCAGTTGTATCAGTTGACTTGTTATTTGTAGTTTTCTCAATGTTTAACATGACCCATAATTTTCAAAGAGGACGGTGTCCATTTGTTTCCTGCTTTTAGCCACCCAGCCTGGTCTGGGACATGGCTCTGATGTAATACTTACTAGTGTGAGAGGCCCTGGCTTCCATCCTTAGCACCACAGAGACACACTGTTCAGACAGAACACACTATTCAGCCTGAAGACAGTAGAAAGGGGTGAGAAGAATTTTCTAGGTGGTTAATTATTCTTTTTTAAACTTTTTTGCTTTTGTAGTTTCGCTTCTAAACTTTGGGCCATTCTTACCATTTGTCTTTAAAAGTTTTATTTCCCTCACATGGGAAGTTGATGTATATGACTAGCACACAGATGGTGTGAGAGGAGGAAGAGAAACAAGATTATAGAAGTCACACCAGTGGGAGGCTTTTCTAAACTAAATGCAAAGACAATAGTCCTCCTCTGTACTAGAGATAATTCACCCTTCTCCTACCTTTGTGGTCTCAGGATGGGGGTCAGGCTGGCCTTGAACCCATGTCTTAGCCTCGCAGATGCTGGGATTGCAGGTGTGTGCCTCTGGGTGTACTTGCTGTACGTAGACTGTGCCACTATCTATATTTTTCAGAAGTCCTTGCTTGTAAAAATAAGTTGTCTATCTTATCTTTAGACGTGATTGCATCACATTTTACAGGAATGCCTTTTGCAGTATATTTCTCAATCCGAGCATAAAAAGCCTTCTGTAGCTCTCCCAACCACCCCTTCCCCACAAGCTCCCAGGTTTCTGAGCGGCTTCATTGCTAGGTGCTAAATTAAATTTTTGTTCTGTTTTCTTCCTAGGCTACTTCTCCTGTGTTGAAACTGAGCATCTTTAAAATCCTCTCAAGCTCCTAACTGCAGAGACGGTGACATTGCTTTGAACAAGGAGACAAGTGACTGACTTCCTAGGAAGTGTTCTGGCCCGGTTTTGTTGTCCTCCCTGAATTTGAAGAACTATGGAGAACTGGTCCTGGATGACACTCATCGTCTTAGTAGGACTCACAGTGCGGTGGACGGTTTCTCTTAACCCTTACTCAGGTAGTGTACTTTTTCTGTTTGAAGGATTGGTAAATATTCCTGCGTGGATTGCTTCTGCTTGCTTTGATAACTGTTTGTAGTTTTTGACTGAAACAAGTATTTGAGGCTTTATTGTTATGATTAAAAAATGCATGCCCCTGAGGTAGTAACGCATGCCTTTAATCCCAGCGCTTAGGTGTCAGAAGCAGGTGGATCTCTGTGAGTTCGAGGTCAGCCTGGTGTACAAATCGAGTACCAGGTTCCAGGACAGCCAGGGCTGTTACATAGAGAAACCCTGTCTTGAGAAACAAACAACAACAAAACAAACAAACAAACAAACAAAAAGCAGGAAGAAAGAAAAGAAAAAAGAAAATCCATGCATCTACTTATAATGAGAAAGTGTAAGAGGTAAACAAACATTGTAATCTAGCTTGGAATATGACAAATTGAGGTGTGATTATGTCTTGAGCTAGTCCTTGAAGACACTCTTGGAGTCAAAGGTTTCTATTTGCTGATACTGTTTGTGGCAGAGCAGACACATTATTAGATTGAGAAAGAAAAGGGAGGTGGAAAAGAGGAAGATTCAAATGAGGGATGGAGTATGACCCGGCAGACTTGTAGCATGAATTCTAATTGTTCTTAATAATAAAAACCCGGAGTCAGCTGTTGAGTGAGAGCGGAAAGGTCAGAGAAACAGAGCGATCAGCCACTGAGAGACCTTTTACTTCTACTGACTCTTCAGACTGAAGGGGCGATCCTGTCTCTACAAAATCCTCAGTCTGCATGCATGCTCAGACTGCATCTCCAGACTGCTTCAGACTGCTGCCTCAGACTACATCCTCAGTCTGCAATGAGCCCCTGTCTCTTCCTGCCTTACATTCCTCTCTCTGCCTAGCTGTATCACTCCTGTCTCCACCTCCCTAGTGCTGGGATTAAAGGCATGGGATCCCAAGTGCTGGGATCATCTTCGTGTTAGCTCTGTTTCTCTTACAGACTGCATCAGTTTTTTGTAGCCCGGGCTGGCCTTGAACTCCCATCTGACTCTGTCTCCCAAGTCCTGGGACTAAAGGTATGTGCCATCCCTCCCTGGCCTGTACTGGCTTAGCTCTACACTCTGATCTTCAGGCAAGCTTTATTTGTTAAACCACAAACAAAGTATTACTACAGAGACTGGGGTGATACCAGATTTAATTCTGCAGGTTTGTATTTAATGCTTTGTCGTATTATGTGTGGTAGGTAAGAAAAATATAAAGTGAATATTGGTGTCATAGAGCACAGTTCCAAATAGACAAGCAGTCACTGTAAGATGTGTTGTGTCTGAGGTACACGTCTAGCAGAGAAGTGACCAATGAAAGTGCACTAGAGGAATTTCAGAGATGTCTGACTTGAGAGTTTGAGGGATTAATCAGAATTTGCTAGACAAAAGGGATTGGATACAGTGTTCTAGAGAATAGTGACTTTCACAGACACAGAGAAGAATATAGTATAAGAGTGACTAAAAATTAAGATTAAAAATGGCATCAAAAGGAATAAAAATAGAAGAAAAAGTAAAAAAGCATGTGTCTGTGGAGAACTAACTTAGGGAGAAAAAACCAAGATGGCTCAGCATTACCATTTTTGGAAATGACTGTGGTTTTGGCCATACATTTATGTAGGCAAATCTGGTTGTAGAAAAATTTTCTGGTAATAAAAAAGATTGTAGGAAAAAGGTCAGAGGTAAAGAGACAATAACACTAGTAGCAATGAGAGTATATTTTGAGCATTTACTGATGTTTGGCACTATTTTCTTTAGTATTTATCATAGCCACTGAAGATGGGGTAATATCTAATGTACAAGCATAAAGTAGGACAGTCCTAAAGAGTAAGGATTGTGATACTGAACTGTTTGTTCTTAGCCTACAATGAATATTTGCCTTTATTAATAAATCTAAACATAATTTGAAATAAGAAAAATGTGGGCTGATGAAATGGGTCATTTGGTCTGGGTTTGGTTCCTAGCACCCACATGGTGCTAGTAATTGGTTGTAACTATTTTTTTTTAAAGATTTATTTATTTACTAAGTATACAGTGATTTGCCTGCCTGTGGGCCAGAAGAGGGAACCAGATCTCCTTACAGATGGTTGTGATCCACCATGTGGTTGCTGGTAATTGAACTCAGGACCTTTGGAAGAGCAAGCAGTGCTCTTAACCTCTGAACCATCTCTCCAGCCCTGGTTGTGACTATTTCCAGAGGTGTTGACTAAGGTTTTCTGTTCCACCTGGTCCCCGCAATCATTAAGTCCCAAAGAAATCACACAGAGGTCTACATTAGCTATAAACAGATTGGCCCATTAGCTCAGGCTTCGTATTAACTCTTATAACATATATTAGCCCATTATTCTTGTCTCTGGTAGACTTTTTCAGCTCAGTACCTTTTTCAGCGAGGCAATCACATCTTGCTCCTTCTGTGGCTGGTCAGAACTCTGAGGAATGGGCTTTCTTCTTCCCAGAATTCTGTTCTCATTGACCCGCCTCTACTTCCTGTCTGATTGTCCTGCCTATACTTCCTGCCTGGCTACTGGCCAATCAGTGTTTATTTAAAATATAATTGACAGAATACACACCATGGTCCCACACCACAGAGGTTCCAGCATCCTCTTCTGGTATCCATGGGTACCATGTACATGTGGTACACAGATGTACATGCAGGTGGTGGGCACCATGCACATGTAGTACACAGATGTACATGCAGGTGGTGGGCACCATGCACATGTGGTACACAGATGTACATGCAGGTGGTGGGCACCATGCACATGTGGTACACAGATACACATGCAGGCAGTGGGCACCATGCATGTGTCGTGCACAGATACACATGCAGGCAATAGGCACCATGCACATGTGGTGCACAGATACACGTGCAGGCAGTGGGCACCATGCACATGTGGTACACAGATACACGTTCAGGCGGTGGGCACCATGCACATGTGGTGCACAGATATACATGCAGGCAGTGGGTACCATACACATTTGGTACACTGATACACGTGCAGGCGGTGGGCACCAGGCACATGTGGTACACAGTTACACGTGCAAGTGGTGGGCACCATGCACATGTGGTACACAGTTACACATGCAGGCGGTGGGTACCATGCACATGTGGTCCACAGATGTACATGTAGGTAAAACACCTGTACACATAAACTGTACTTTCTTTTTTTAAAAAAATATTTATTTATTTATGATGTATATAATATTCTGTCTGTGTGTATGTCTGCAGGCCAGAAGAGGGCACCAGATCCCATTACAGATGGTTGTGAGCCACCATGTGGTTGCTGGGAATTGAACTCAGGACCTCTGGAAGAGCAGGCAATGCTCTTAACCGCTGAGCCATCTCTCCAGCCCCAAAACTGTACTTTCTTTATGTAGGAATATAATCAGCACATTTACGGTCATTACTCACCTCTATTGATCATCACTTTTGATTATTTAACTCCAAAATATGATCAGGTATGGCCACACAGCTGTAATCCCAGCACTCAGGAGGTAGGAGCAGGGGGGTCAGGAATTCAGGGCCCACTTTGGCTACATAGTGAGTTCATGGTCAGCCTGGTTTTTATGGGAGCTTGTCTTAAAATACAAACAAACCCTCCAAAATATTATTGTTTGCTGTGTAGCCAAAAGGGGTCTTGGTAATTATTAAGATTTTAATAATAAAGAATGATAAATGGTATCTTCCCTAGAGAAGTTAACAGTTTGGTGGATAGGGTGTGTGTGCAAATATATATTAACATTAAAATTTGGTGCAGTATAAAGTGATTAGATTTAGAACACTAGATATTTCCTAATTCAGTGAGGAGGTCTTTGTATGTAACATTTAAGTATATCCTAAAAGATTTTACTAGGGACAAAACGGGTGAGAAGGACATTCTGGTACAAGAAAACATGAAACAAAGCTTAGACTCTTCTGAAGGATGGAAGAATACAGGGTGCGTGTGTGTGTTTGTGTGTGTGTGTGTGTGTGTGTGTGTGTGTGTGTGTGTGTGTGTGTTGAGACAAATGAATCAGGCCGATGGTTAGCCAAACTAGTTGTGGGGGCAGCAAGGTCCAAAGATCATGCTTGTTTTTAAGAGCTAGTTCTAGAAGCGTCCTAGAATTTGGAGCAGGGCGAGGAGAGGCAAATAGAATTGTCTGTGTGCAGTGGCCACAGTGTGCTCACCGTGTTTATTGTAAGTGTTGTCTCATGGAGCTGGTTATATGGCTTAGGTCAATCACCAGGTACGCAAACACAGCAAAGGAGGGATGTAGAAGAGCCATGTAAGCTCCCCGCTCCCAATTGCCTAGCTATATCAACAAAATGGCAGCCTCTGTAACTTAGTGAGGAGAAGGGCGTGTGCTAATACTTTATATGGGTGCTCGGGATCCACACTCTGGTTCTGTGTGGTAAGCACTTTGCTACCTAAACCATCTCCTTAGCCACAAGACATCCCCCCCCCCCAATGCTGTGGATGGAACCCAGGGTCTCACATGCTAGGCATGTACAGCATCACCATCCATCTCCAGCCCCACATGTGAAGAACTGTAACACAGGAAGTTAAGAGGGCTAATGGGAGATGGAGAGATGTCTCAGCAGTTAAGAGCACTTGCTGCTCTTGCAGAGAACCTGGGTTTAGTTCCCATACTAAGCAGCTCACAACTGCCTGTAACTCTAGTGCCAGGAGATGTGATGCCCTCTTCTGACCTTCAAGACACCTACATGCATGTGGTGCACATACATACCTATGCTCAAAGCACGCATACTTAATTTTTATATAATATTAAGTTTCTTTGTTTTAATTTTTTAAAAATAGATTTGTTTTTCTTTTTGCTTATTTTCTTTTAAGAGTGTAATCAGGAAACATTTGTTGGAGAGAAAAAAAATTCTTTTCCTTCAACCCTTCTGAGTTTTCTGTTAGACCATGTGTAACAAAAGACAAGTTAGCAGATAACCATATAGATTTGTTCAGTGTAAGCTTTATGTGACATGGGAGCCTTCATGAGG